GTATGGGAGAATTTCTGGGAATCCCATTTATGCTGCTTTCATATAGGAAGGCAGGACATAAATATGACTAGTAAATAAAATACTGAGAATTAAGCATGCGCATAAGTACCTTCAGCTAAAATCGAGCGGGCTTAACATTGCTTAACTTTGGCTGGTTTGTGCCCATTTATTCTTAAACTATAATCATGTTAGATGGATAGACTGGGAAAAATCCTTTGTTGCTTTATTCCAACAGCACATACCACTCATCATTAGCTTTCAAATAAGAGCAGCTGATTTTAGTCATAGCTTTAAATCACTCATATATTTATGATTTTTTTTTAAAAAAAATCTGAACTACTTTCCATCTAAAGAAAAATAAGATATATGTTATCATATACAGTTTCTGGAGTTTTAACTGAAAATTATTAGGTTTCTGATGTGTGATGCTAAGGGGCATCCCCAGACTAATATTTTGCAAATATCAAATGCTAAATCTTTCTGTTGCAAATAAATCATCAGAGATTTCTGATATTTAAAGTTCCATTGAAAGACATGGGAGGTATTCTGTCTTTCTGATATCATTTTCAAAGTCACTGTTCCCCCCCCCCAGTAATAAGCAGGTGATTCAACTCACAAAGAGACCACATCAGACACATATACTGAGAATGAAGATAGAATAAAGAAGTCCCAGAAATGTTTGATCTCAATTTCAAACTTTTTTTTTTTGGTAATTGCTTAGTGTTTACATGCTGTAAGAAGTCTCCCTTCTGCGCAGAACTTTGTGTTGAACTAAAAGTTCCTTTCCCTTGGAAAAAAAACATTGGCATTACCAGTGTGTTATAAATCAGTTAAGAACCTTTTGCACGGGGATTGCTTTGACTATCGGAAACCTGATAGAAAACCTCTTCAGCCACCTATTGTGGCTGTTAATTCACAAGGCACTCAGTGACTGCCAATAATAGCAGGTTTCTTTAGATAAGGCTGGCTGTTTGCCCTTTCAAATCATTCTCCCCATTCTTGGTTATTAGTTGCACAGTCGTGTTCTAAATCAGAGGGGTGGATTTTTGGACTTGGGAGGCCTAAGATCTGGCACAGCAGTGGCCAAACTGTGGCTCGGGAGCCACATGCGGCTCTTTCACACACATTGTGTGCAGTGTTCCCGCTAAGCTGAGTTAGTGTGAGCTAGCTCACAGTTTTTGAGCCTCCGGCGCACACATTTTTGTCTTAGCTCAGGAATGATGGCTCCAGAGCAAACTAATTTATGCAGTAGTCAAATCACCTGCTCACAACTTTCATGCCAGTAGCTCACAAAGTAGAATTTTTGTTCACAGGACTCCATAGCTTAGAGGGAACATTGATTTGTGTGGCTCCCGGCAGGGCAGCTGGGCCAGCGAAGGGGAGGCGTGCCTCCCCTCCCCAATCTGTCTTCCTTTCCCCAGCCAGTGTTCCCCTTTCTTGGTAGGCTTGAGCGGGGGGGGGGGAGAGAAAGAAAGCAACTTTAGCTTTAAAGGCGTTCTCAAAGCCCACCCCCGCCTACAAATATCATTGTTCAAATAAGTATCATTATCAATATCTATTTTTACCCCTTTTTTATTATTTTTGGCAGTCTCATTTAATGTTATAAAAAGCAATTCTGCATAGTTTTCAATAAAAACATATGTGTAATATTTGTTCACGTCATGCAGCTCTCATTACATCTGACGTTGATTCTATGTGGCTCTTACGCCAAGCAAGTCGAGCCACTCCTGAAACACCTGCTTCTCTGTGGATTCAGTCACTTACTAGCCTTCGACAAGCCACTCTCTCGCCACTTCTTGTTCCAACAGGGTCAGTTCAAGGCCCAAGCGGCTCCTTCAGGCCACCACAAGGTGCTGACAGCCAACTGGGACTTGCGTTGTTCCCAGCTGGCCCAGCTACAGAGGTGGTCTGAGACGTAGCCTACGTTGGCCATCCCCTCCCAGACCCACGTCACTGGTCCAGATCTCAGCAAGCTCCCAAGATAATGGGTTTGCCCAGCCTACACCCAGCCATCAGCAAATACCTTGGGATTATTACACGGGAATAGTAGACACCTGCCTGGGCTCTTGCAAAGGTCTACGCAGGCTTATGATGCAGTTATACCTTCCATTGATCTTAGGAAGTCAATGAGCTTAAGAAGGGTGTAACCGCTTAGAAATGCACTGTCAAAAAGCTGTTCTGCAGATACGTAATATTAAGCTAGACTAACACTGATGGAGCTGCAGTGGCTCAAGTGGTTAAGACGCTGAACTGCAGGCTGTGGAAGGTTAGTAGTTCAGCAGTTCAAGACCCGAGTGTGCCGCATGATGGAGTGAGCTCCCGTCTCTGGCCCCAGCTCCTGCCACCCTAGCAGTTCGAAAGCAAGAAATTGCAAGTAGATAAATAGGTAGCACTTTGGTGGGAAGGTAAAAGCATTCCGTGCGCCTTGGTGTTTCGTCATGCCGGCCACATGACCATGGAAACGTCTTCGGACAGCGCTGGCTCTTCGGCTTTGAAATGGAGATGAGCACCGCAACCCTAGAGTCGGACTCGACTGGCTTTCGAGCAAGGGAACCTTTACCTTTAACACTAAACAGCAATGTCAGTTCAGTGCACTTGCACAATTCAGGGCCCTGGATGCTCAGTTCGGTTCAGTTGTACTTTGTACAGCCAGCATCGCACTTAAGGTTGCAATCCTTCAAATATTTGCATATGCATAAGTCCCATTCAAATGCATGGGGTTTACACAAAGGCACCTGACGGCAGGATTGAATTACAACTGATTAAGACTTAACTACAATTACTCTTTCTTTCTTTTTTAAGAAAAGAGATCTGGAAGAGAGTAAAAGGCCGAAACTGATGAGCCCTCTTCCTTCCTCAGCCAGAGCAATGCTGTGCGTAATGCTGGTACCTGACTCAGAAAATATGCAGTGCTTCATTCCTAAAGCAAGAGGTGCCAGTTCTCAGCACCCTCTGACTTAGAAGCCTTCTCTTCTAATCTGACTCATAAATGGCGTATTACCTACAACGAAAGCACTATTTGTCATGCCTGGGCGTTTAAAACTGTGTGTACCTTTTACTAGTGTTTTTGGCTTTTTTATTATTTTGTTTTATCATTAGCCAGTTTGGGTGTTCCCTGAACAGAAAGACTGAGCAGAGGTTTAGTAAGCAAATAAGTATCCATATGGTACTCAGCCACGTGGATAACATGTGACAACTGAGGCAGATGTGCATTGGACATGGCTGTCTGCAAGTGGTGGACAATCCTAGCTTCCAAAGCAGCTCAACATGTATGTGCATGCAATACCTATGGGCATGCAATTCCTACATAGGTATTAAAGGTAAAGGTAAAGGTAAAGGTTCCCTTGCTTGAAAGCCAGTCAAATCCGACTCTAGGGTTGCGGTGCTCATCTCCGTTTCAAAGCCGAAGAGCCAGCGCTGTCCGAAGACGTTTCCGTGGTCATGTGGCCGGCATGACGAAACACCAAGGTGCACGGAACGCTGTTACCTTCCCCACCACTTGCCTACCTATTTATCTACTTGCAATTTCTTGCTTTCGAACTGCTAGGTTGGCAGGAGCGGAAACATAGGCATTGCATGGTGTTATTTCTGGCCTGGGTGCAATGGCCATTGCATCTCAGTGATGGAAGCAAGACACTGCTGCAGGGAGTCAGAGGCACTCTTGACTTCACACAGATGCCAGAGCCTGCAAGCCCTGACTCCAGTCCAGTCCCTGCAAACCTCTGCCTGTGTATTTAATTCAGGCCGACGTCCCCAGAATCACAGCATCTGCACCGTTGGCTGTCCTCCACCACACCTTCCACCAGCCTTTCCTAGTCCAAGTTGTTTTGAAACTTCCAGCTCGACGAGAGCCGTTGCTATACCATCTGTTGCTATAGGATGCTTCCGTCGCGGGAGGGAGGGAGAGAGGTAAAGAAGCAGCCGGAGGGAGCGAGCGAGGGGGAAGGGGAGGAGGGAAGAGAGCGCCGCGCCTTACCGAAGAGGCTGTGGTCCTGCCTCGTGCCCTGGACGCTGCCGTCGGGCAGGATCTGCAGATGGAAGCCCGTCCTGCAGTAGAGCTGCCTCCGGCGTAGGATGCCCTGCAAGTGGGCTAGATCCGTGGCGCCTGCCGCCGCGATGCTCCCTCGGGACCCTCTCTCCATTTGAGCCAGGCGGTCGCCGAGCAAGGCCGGCCTCTCCCCGGCAGGAGGCAAGAGGAAATGGGAGCCCACCTGCTGGCCCAGGCCTTCCAGGCCGCCGAGGAAGCCCCCAACTTCGGCTAGGGGGGCCATGGTGGAGCCAGAAGGGACGGGGAGGATGGGGGAGGGGGGGGAGCCGAGAGCGACGGGAGGCCGAGGCTGAGGACCGGCTGGAGGGGGAAAGGGAGACTCGACGGCGTCCGCTCTAGAGGCTCAGCCGATGCTGGAGGCTCTCCCGCTGGCCGGACTCCGCATTAAGATAGCAGCTGCCTGTCTCGGGAGTCTCTTCTCTCCCCGGGCATGGGGGTGGCGGGGCCGGGCCGGGCCTTGGCATAAAAACATCGGCAGCCGCGGCAGGTGCTGGGTGGGGGTGCCGGTGCCCGCTGGCGGGTGTCTTGGGGGGGGAAGCCAACGGAGGAGTCCCGAGCGCGGCTGCTCTCCCAGCGCAGACAGCAGCGAGTGCGGAGGGACGGTAAAGATATATATGCATGGGGCAGGGTTTTTTTTTCCCCTTTCCCCCACCCTGACATATGCTAATGCTGGAGGTGGCTTGCAAGCAGGTGAGCCGCGGCGTTTGAAATCTTAAACCCCGCGTCTCTTCCCCTCCTCACACCTCTGCCCCTCCTCCGCCTTGATCCGAAGTGACGAAGGGGAGTTCCTAATGTTCCCCAGTCATTCACGCACAGAAGAGAGACAGACTTGGCTTCCAACTTCACCTTGGAGGCTGGCAAACACCCTCCCCGCCACCCCACCCCACCCCAAATCCTCCTCCTCCAACCCCCCCCCTCCTCCCCACACACGGCTGTCGACGGGGAAGGGAGGATGCCGTCGGATCTCCGCGCCCTTTTGATGTGCCAGCCGCTCGCCAGCGATAAGTCGCAGCGAGCAAAGCGCCCCGGTTTGGCAGGGACTCCGGCGGCGGCGGCGGCAGCAGGAGGGTTGGACTCTCGCCGTGCGTTACGTGGACAGGTGCAGGGAAAGGTAAGACGCAGAAGAAGGAGAAAGGGCGTTACCGGAGGGTTAGACCTGCTCAGACAGACATGAAAGGGAAGAAAAAAAACAGAGATCTAACAGCTTGACTCCTTGGTTTTCAGAACAACTCATAAAAGTGTTACATGCATTCCCTCTCCCCCGCACCTTTTATCACCTTATGTTTCCAAAAGGGGGGATTTTCCCCTCTCCCTCCCCAATGAACTGGCACCCTCCACTGGGGTTTCCCCCCTTCTTTCAAGAGCCTTTTTTTTGGGGCTTAGCTTTGCTTGGCTTTCATGCTTCATTTATCACAGACAATGTGACACATATCGGTATTGTGTGGCCTGCACTGAAATAGTGTTTAACAATAGTTTATATTATATACATAAAACAGAACAAGGAGTATATTCTGGGCTATTTCAGAAGTCTGGTAAAGCGGATGACATGTATTGTTAAGTCTGACAATAGGAAGAGCCCCAAAGGGGCAGTGAATATCAGAGCAGAGCACCTTGGCTAAAAACCCAAATGTCACATTTGTTTCCATCTTCGGCCATGACACAGGTGTGAATGTCAGAAAGGAGGCCCAAGACACAAGGATTTCTGATATTGCCTCAGGAAAATCTTACCAGTCAGTGTTGTCGGGCTGCTCTAGGAATCGCCATAAACTCTCTGACCTGCCCAATGATGATTATATTAAGTACAATTACAAAATATCAGATCATATATTCAACATTATGTTTTACAGATCACTGAAACAATTGATGTCAACGATGGACAAATTCCCCCGGAGTTGATATTCGTTTCGAGGCGTCTTTTTCACACATCAAACCTCATAAGTGTGCTTCCACATGATCATAAATCTTCCAAACTGGATATTCCTTGGTTCCTATACGTTTTGATGTCATTCACAAAAGTTCTTAACCATAATATCAAGGACAGGCTGATCAGCCTTCTGTTTATACCTTTACCATACTGCAGCCCCCTTCTATCTTTTCTGCCCAATGATGATAAAAAGACGTGTTAAAAAAAAATAATAAAAAAATAAACTCTGTGACCTGGATAGCCCAGGCTAGCCCAATCTTCTCTGATCTCAGAAGCTAAGCAGGGTTGGCCCTATCTAGTATTTGAATGGGAGACCTCCAAGGAATACCAGGGTCATGACTCAGTCAGACAATGGCAAACCACCACTGAACAGCTCTAGCCTTGAAAACCCTTTGGGGTTGCCATAAGTCAGCTGTGACTTGACGGCACTTTCCACCACCACTACTGTTTTACCAACTTTTGAATATTTTACTTTAACACACACAACATGTAAGAAAAAATGTCGGGCCTCAGTTGATGAATCCAATATCATACCAACCAACCCACCAGCATCCATCCTTGGCAGAGGTGCCATTTTAGATAGAGCACAGCAATAGTCAGCCAATGTGTGAAAACCACCTGATGCTTGATCACCTGTGGCCTGAACAATGAGTGAGCCTTCCCTCTAGCTAGGTGGTGTACCTAATCTGTTCCAGCATCTCTCCCTTCCCTGCATCCTCTGTAAGGAAGGAACAGTAGAAGTGTTTTCTGCTTTCCAAACAAGGCCCCAGGAGACCAGGACTGAATGCATGCATGCCACTTAACAGTGCTTTTCTGAGCCTCTTTTCCGCTGTGTGTTGAGGTGCGTGAATGAGCCACAGTCTTAAATGTGCTGCTTCTGGGTTTTAAAAAACTGAAAGACAGCCATGCAGGAAGGTAATTGACAACCTTCAGTCCTTCCATCACCTGACAGAAACATTACTTCCTGAAGCCCATTTTTGCCCTTCATCCAACATTGTTTCCACTCTGGAGAAAGGCTTTTTCTCCTCTTTTTAAACCTCCCCTGTTAACCAGTGTCATATTCTCTAGGTTCAAAAAGGATAGCACCATTATTTTTGCATCCCTAGAAGAGATTCTATGGCAACCACTCTGATTTGCAGAAAACTGGATTTCCTTAATCAAATTGTTTCCTTCACCAACTGCACACAACCAGGGGTCATTTCGTAGAAAAAGAGGTAGGGAAACTCATTAGCATAACTCATTAGCATATGCCACACCCCCTGACATCAGTGCGAGGAAGCCCCGCCAAGGCCCTCCCTGGCCCCAGGCAGGCAGGGGTGGGGAGAGGCAGGGAGGAAGCAACTTACCCTCCCTCTTCTCCTGCCTCCTGGCTGAATGAGGGCCGGAAGCAGGGCGACCGGAAGCAGGGGGCGGGGCTTCATTGTGTGCCCCGCCCCCGTACCTCACCCCAGGGAACCGCGATCCCCCCTGAAATGACCTCTGCACACAACACATAAGAGAGAGGGGTGAAAAAACAGGAATGGGGGGGGGAGTCCCTGCTGGTGCCATCCAGGAGTTTTCACAAGAAAGAGGAAGGAAGGCCTAATTATTTTCTGCCTTAGGTGGAAGGGAGAGGTAAGCATGCTTGAGGAAAATTGTGACTGCATGTTGACCTAACGGCAGCTGAACATTCACCGGACTGTTTGGGTAGTGGGTCTCCCATGTCTCAGAACTATCCAGCAGAGGATTAAGCTGCCTGCTCATGTGGAAAAATGCAATAATCACCATTGCAACCAACTATTTCAACAAATAAATAAAAAAATATGAATTTCAGGGAGGAAAGACTTGTTGGAGACTCTGTCTGGTACTAGTTTACTTAATCTAGACCCCATTTTTCTCCCCACTGTGGATCCAAAATGGCTTACAATGTCCGCCCCTTATCTTTGCAGGTTGGGATGATAGACAGGGCCAATGTTCCCTCTAAGCTGTGGAGTCTTGTGAGCAAAAATTCTACATTGTGAGCTGCTGGCATTAAAGTTGTGAGCTAGCTATTTGACTCCTGCATAAATTAGTTTGCTCTGGAGCCATCCTTCCTGAGCTAAGACAAAAAAGTGTGAGCTGGAGGTTAAAAACCAGTGAGCTAGCTCACACTAACTCAGCTTAGAGGGAACACTGACAGGGACTGACCTAAAGACACCCAGTAAGATTCCATGGCAGAGCAGAGATTTGAACCTGAGTCTCCCAGACCCTAGTCTGACAGTCTAAGCCAAGGGTGTCAAACATGCAGCTCAGGGGGTGGATCAGGCCCTGGAGAGCTTCCATCAGGCCCGCAGTGGAACTGGCTGTCTTCTGCTTCTTCCAGTTCTGCTGCTGCTGCATCATCGTAGGTTTGCAGCTTACAGATACACACCTGAACAGCATACTCAAGATTGCAACAGCACAGACATTTTGATGCAATAATTCAGAGCAAGAGGTGTCAGTTATCAGACACCGTTAAATAAACAAAATATTGCAAGAGTGCTAAAGTTTTAAGCATGTTTTTATTTTAAGTTAAAAAAAAACTTTGTATTTAAAGTTTATATCTCTGCTACCTGGCTTTACATTTTATGACACACATGGCCCAGCCCAACAAGGTCTCATTTATGTCGGATCTGGCCCTCATAACAAATGAGTTCGACACCCCTGCACTACACAATGCTGGTTCAGTTAGTGGTTGCTGAAAGATCCAGCTTCGGTTTGTACATGCATTTTCTTGTACAACCTTGTGGGAGTTGTAGTTTCTATGCCCTCTGTCAGTATGTTGTATAATACGTTTTTAATCGCCTAAATAATAAATAGCAAAATGCAAAGGTTTAAAAAAAGATTATGTGCTCATTTCTTTTGAACTGATTAG